GGTTTCACACAATATCCTACACATGGAGGTCCTTTTATGTCACTTTGTGATGGCACAATGTATTTTTGGGCTTTGCAACCATTACCCAATCACCAACCAAGGTAACCCCCCCCCCCACCGTATCACCTGAATCTCCTCCGAGAGCAACATTGTGTTTTTTTTTAAACTAATCATCTCTCAGAGGGGCGTGGCCAGCAGCAGCTCATTAGCATTTAAAGCTACAGACACAGAATCAGCACTTTTGAAACAGAGGGGATTATGGGATGCTGCAATGATCTGTTTGGTATTTCGTAGGGATGTAACGATATACCGAATATCGCGATAAATAAACATCTCAATACCGTCGTGAGACTGACAAAATCTACAACAATTTATAAAAAAAAAAAAGGGTTAGGGTTATTCGGTTAACGCGACCACTGCTGTCCCAGCAACATCAGTACCAAGCGAGAGAGTTTTTTCCACAGCAGGGGATATTGTAAACGCCCAAACATCCCAGCTTCTACCTGGAAATGTGGACATGCTCATATTCCGTCTGATGATGCTGAGGGAGTGAGTTACTTGATTTATTTTATTGCAGGTATCTGATTATTAAATGTCCTTGTTTATTTGTGAGATGCAGTGGCACAAAGAAAATGCCTGCTTTGTTTGGTAGTACTAGTAGGTACAAAAACACTGGTTGTTCTTGTTCCAGTCTGCTACTCTCACTTTGTTTTTGACACTTTAAAATACTACTATCCTACTAAAATGCTGTACAAATCAGATTTATTATTTAATAAAGAAAAAAATTTCAAGTACATTTTTTTAAAATGTCCAAATAGATTTTTCCCAAAAAATAAAAATAAAATAAAAAAATTCAATATCGCGATAAATACCGTACCGTGAGTTTTTGGTATCGTTACATCCCTAGTATTTCGACATGTTTTGTATATATATCTGAGACTTGTAATATATTGATGAAAAACAGTATAATAGGGGACCTTTAACACAGCAGCTCTTCCATCTTTGGGGATTTAATGACTTCATTTGGATTATTTTCAGGCAAATGGTTTTTGCACACAGCGATGCTATCAGTGTATTTCTACTGGACTTGAGAACTTACGAGTGTCAACAGTCTCCTGGATGGGGATGAATCCAACAGGCAGAGTGTCCTTTATATCAATCAGCTTCATGTCCACCAGAACATTGCCTAAATGGCTCTGAAGAAGAAGATCAAATCATTCAAATGCTACATGTATGACGTAAGATTGTAACATGCAACGGCAGGTCGGTGAGAGGAGAGGACTTACATTTTCTTTCGAGAAGACCCTGGTGAAGCACAGGTAGCGCGTCACCTTGGATTTGAAGAGGCCGTCTTTCCACAGGTCAGCGTCCAGGCCGTCTGTGGTGGTGGACACCTGGAGGCAGAGAGGTCAAACTGAAGCTGAAGCAACGGTAACCATATCTGGAGCTCAGAGCCTTCTTTAAACACGACGTCCACCTTTCCCTCCACCTGGAATAATCACATCTTATTTCTTTGAATGGCTTTTTTTTAAGCTTTTATGCTTATATTTTTTAGCTTTAAGGTTATTTGTATAGTTACATTAACATTTGGTGAAAATACTTGTCTGGAGCATCCTTTTTCACGCTAAACTGTGTCTTAAAAATACTTAATTTGTATTATCCTTATATATTTATTTATTTTTTACCTACTTTGCAACTTATTTTATTAGTTTGTTTATGTTCACACCACCAGATCCCAAAGCAAATTCCTTGTATGTGTAAACGTACCTGGCAATAAACTTGATTCTGATTCTGATATATAAGCTAATATGTTTTAACTGCTGAATTGAACGCCTTATCTTTGTAGCACTTTTGCTCATCTCAGCTCTGTCTCACCAACAGCTGTTTCCTGTTGGAGCGTCCACCTTTCCTCCCTGTCCCCTTAACAATCGCATGCTCTATTCAGTTAAACATTTGAATTGGGCAGAGCTAAATTACAACGTTATGATGATGTGTTCAAATGGAATCACATGTAAAAACAGTAGGGGTGCACGATTCAGGAAATCTCATGATTCGATTCGATTTCTTGGGGTCACGATTCGGTTCACAATTGATTCGCGATTCAAAATAGCTCAGGAGTCCGCCCTGTGAGGCAGGACGAGCGGACGGAGCGAGGAGGATTTCCAAGTTTGTTTCCCCGGATGCTGCATAAAGTCTAAGTGCCATGTGAGCGGGACATTACGGAGCTCACGCCGTAGAAAAAAACGAAAACAGCGTTTTGGCAAGACTGAAAAATGTGAACCGATTCTTGGAATAAAACTGAATCCATTATGGCTAGAAGCGGTATTAACTAGCAGATTCAGAATTGTTAAACACTAATTGATACCCAGCCCTTGGTGTGAGTTCAGTAACTCACCACATCATATCCGCTGGGGGCCCGGTTCCTGGAGGCCACTACTCCAACTCCAGTGATTGGGTCCATTGGCATCTCTGGCAAAGCCTCAGAAAGTTCCCGAACTTCAGGCATCTTCGTAGCGTTCTGCAACAAAAGCACCATGACAGGTTAAACATTTTAACGAGAGATTCTTGGATGGGTGATTTGACCTGGAATGAAGGTGAGCTAAATGTGCTCTTCCATTTCCTTTAACGGCTGGACTTTTTAATCTACACGTACAGATATTGAGCTGTCAGGTCTGATGTTATGATCTAAGCTTAGTCAGTTCTCTTAAATGTGTTTATATCAAAACCGTGACCTAGGGAATTGGCACTGATGCGGAATTTTTAAAGTACTTGTCTTCCTGCTTTCTTATCTGCTCTTTAATCTGTCTGACAGAAAACAGCTGAGGATACATGCACACAAAGCAGACAGAAGTGTAGGGTAGGCTATCATTTACAAATAGGCTTAATAGTGAATATGATTCTATTTTTAGAATTAGATTCTAGCTTATGACTGTTTTTCGACACATGTGATCCAAACCTTTCCAAAAGCCCAAGAGCTATGAAATAATTTACAAATTCACAAAAAAATTGTATGATGTTCAATCCATATTTGTTGGCATTACCTTTCAAAAACAACATCTTCACTGCTCTCAAAAAAACGGTTTGCTCTCCTGCTTGCTGCACACAAAGGGAGGCATGCACTGAAGAGTTAGATTAGAACATCAAAACAAAGAATTGAATATACCACAACACGGGGATGCACAATAAACACAATTGTAATGACTCCATACCTGACCTGCTCTGCTCTGCTCAGGCTGTGTGTCAAATGAAGCCCTTCCTAAAGAGCCAGACACCAGCCAGTGATCCAGATGTCATGCCCTAACTTTTGGAGGGCTATCATCCCACTGCAGACACACCCAGCAGCTGCATCCTGTGAATGTCTTCCTTTAATGTTGCAACTACAGTCCAGAGGGGAAAGGTGATATCTGTTTATCTGTTGGATCATAGCCTAAAACAGCAGGTCCATCTGCTTTTTGCTGTGGTATCTCCATTCACAATGTATTTACAAATGTGATGAGCTTAACATGTTCTATCCTGGTAATATAACATTATAATTGTGCTGTCAAGTGCATGAGAGTGGTTCATTCTACACATATTCGTGTATTTTATTTAAATCTCAATACATATTGTAATACATTCCTGATCTGGTAGGTAGGGTGTGACCCGCATTTTGTACAATTGCAGGTATGTAGAGGCGAAAGTATATATTTATTTAAGTGCAATAAAAATACGCTGCACAATAATTCTGATATCAAATGGATATCCTGGTTATAATTTTGAACCTAATTGTGCAGGCCTTACAGCAATTTAGCAGCATGATAATAAACATTCAGGGCAGGATTTAGACAGAGAAAGGAACCTTATTTAAGCTGCCTGGATACCAGAAGCCTCCTGCATAGCATGGCCTTAACTACCACAGTCATCTGTTCTGAGCTGTGACTCAGAGAGAGTCAACAAAAGGCTGGCTGACTCAATATTAGTGTATCTCAGGTTGAAGAACAAACATCTTCAAATGACTGTTTAGTTAGCCAACCCAACAGTCTAAAAACCCAGATGTTTTCCTATCTAGTCAGAGTTGAGCCTCTCACATAGCTCTATGTTAAGATTAGTATCACAGATGGGGAAAATACACTGCATTTTTCAAGGCTGAGCAATAAGGTCTGACAATCCAATGAAAGGACATGGATGCATACACACAGTCTGAGAGGAAGTGCTGCATGACTTAGCCAGGGAAGAATGGTATTGTGGGATTACAGATAACTTAGTGATTCTTTTTAAGTGAATCAATCAGTCTTAAAAAAGTAAAAATGACAAATTAACATTAAACATATAAGTGGCAGCTAGGTATTTAATGTCTGTTTGGTGTGTCAGTGCATTAAGATACAGTCATGCATTGCAGAGCTCACAAAACTCCATTTAAAAATCACATTGTTTACTCAAAACAAACACTTTTATATATACAGTGTTATGACAACCACAAGTGACATATTAATGTGTTTATTTCGAAACGTCTGTGTTTATAACCGGTTTAACCTACTAGTACACTGCGTAAAAAATGAGTTATGAGTACAAACCGGCGAAACCAATTTACAAAATGTATTGAAAAGTATAGTAACCAACGTAAGCTAATAGCTGTATACACACATTAGCATCAATTGCCATTATAGCCTATAGAGACAATAGTTAAAACATTTATTGTGCAATTTGGAGTGGTTATGGGGGTTAATGAGGATGCCGAGTCAATTTCTGGCATATACAGCATTACAAATGGCAGTTTAAAACAGAAAATGTCCATATGTGTACTCTCTTTGAACTGATTTTGATACATTTTGGGTCGATTTGGAAGATGTAGGAGACCTGGGAACGAACAGAACAGCTTATTTATTTGGAAAACAAAAAGGTCCACAATAGAGGCAATCCCTTTACTTTCGTGCTCTCTATATCCAATGGTCGCAACACTACTCATATAAGTCAACATTAGCCTACAGAGAGTACAAATATGGCCAACTTTCAGGTTAAACCTGACATTTTTGTTTACACGGACCGTTGATTGAAGATAGGTTAGCTATACGACACAGCTAACAAGCTAGCAAGCTAACGTTCGCCTGTAACCAAACACCAACTGACACCAACGGGCAAAGCTGTGAGCGTTAGCTTTTTTATTTTCAACACTTTTATTTTACAATGCTCAGTTTATATCTGAATGTATATTTAAGTCACTGTAACAACGTTATCCCACCGTTTGTGATAAGAAAGGTCTATAAAGTGTCGCCTAAACACACACTGCTAATGCTAAGCTAACTAGCCGAGTAATCAACTTACCAGGCGAGGTTAGCAGTTGGATTCCACCGAGCTGTATTTTCTTCTGTGTCCGTTCTTTCACAGCTTTAGGGAGACTTGCATGTTTACGAAATTGCTCAAATCAACGAAACAATGCAACACATGAGCTGCTGCTGCTGCTATGTTTATGTTTGCATTGTGGTTCTCCAGCTAGTGTGCCATCATGGGTGGAGCTGTCGGAGGTGATTGTGATCCGGGGAGCGATCAGTGGAGAAGGGGGCCCCCCCCCCGCCTGGAGCCTCCGCATTGAACCTCCATGTAAACACCTATGGTAAACACTCACACTTGCAAATGATGGGCAGAGGTGGAAGTACTCAGATTGGGTACTTAATAAAAGTAGATCTACAAGAGAGCAGGTTTTAAAAAAGGACAAAAGTGTTGGTAAAAAAGTAATTCCAGTATGGCCCATATCAGTTTTAAAAATACAACATGTTCGTATTATTATTATGAATGCATTCATGTCAATGTTGCACTTGGTAAATGATGGGATTATTTACATTACTTATTACTGCTGGGTAGCCTGACATATACTAGCTATCACATACTGATTTTTTTTGTTGATTTATATTCTGTATTATAAATCCGTACCTGCAAAGTAGTTAGTGAACAGAATTGTAAAATAAATGTAGTGGAATAAAACGTTTTTAAAAATGCCTTGAAAATGTAGTAAAGTAACATCATGGGAAAAATACTCAGGTGAAGTAAAAGTACCTCAGTATTGTGCTTAATTACAGTAGAGTAAATGTACTAAGTTACCTTGAATCACTGGTCTTGGGGGTTTCTTAATAAAACTGTTGGTGTAGAGGACTCCCTTTCTCTCTTCAAAATCCTCGTAAAAATACATGAATGTAGTGCTATTCTTTTTATGAACAATCAGGAAAAGATGTCCCCCTCGCCAGGAGCCCAAAGACTGCAGTCACTGTACAGCAATACGTTAGTGGTAATTAAATGATTTGCAAACTTAACAAGAGCACCCCTTAATCACATTAGGCTATAACATGAGACGAGTGGTTTGCATCTTTATGTGAGCTCGAGGGCAAATCTTCTGTAGAGGCTCAGAGTCAAAAATCTGGTTTTAAGGTCTTCAGTGTCTCAGTATTGACCTTACATGTTGGATTATATTAAATACAAGTGTGCTCTTTATTCATGTAAGCTATGAACCTGTATGTTGTCCTTAATATAACCCATTATAGGACTATAACTGTAAACAAACACAGCGCCCCCCGAAAAAAACCGTGATACCATTCTAATGAAACACACAAAGTGCTGAGTCCGACCTTAGCCTTTAGCTGGGGGAACTGTGGACATATTGTTAAGGATTCAAGGAAGAAGGGATTGACCTTATTTAAAAAATAAACAAACAAGACGTCTTCATTTTAATTTCAATTTTTTTTTCATTTGTTGCATGTAAAATGTCTATGTACAGTACATAACACATGTGAAGGTTTCCTTTCACGTTGTCATGTAAAATGGTCTGTTACAGATGCAGGAGAGACTCAAAGGTTTAGCATGTAGCTTGGTTTTGTTTGTTGGGTGTACAAATCCATCCCTGGGGAGGCAGCCTATGTTCAAAAGGCAGTTAAAGAACAAGAGCTGACGGCGACATGGCAGCCAAAACTCTGTCCAACAATTCTCTGGTTCTTTCCATCATTTATTTTTGCTCGTTGACCGTCTTCACCCATGGAGTTTCAGAGACCTCCAACCAGTTCATCTGAAGCAGAGACACGTACTCTGACTCCACTTATCAGTCATCACTTTGCTGCGTGTAGCCTAATGCTGTCTGTGTAGAGACAGGCCTCATTTTTGCATTTACTATTTCATTTTATTTTTATAGCATCAGTCTATGTTGCTAAGCATTTCTCGTCTTTCTACTGGCCGGACTTCTTCTCCTTCTGGAAGCTGAAGCTGGTCCGGCGGCTGAGTTTCCTTTGTTTCTGGGCGAAGTAATCAGCCCGAGATGTGCTGGCCCGGGACTCCAGGATATAGTTCACCTAAAAAGAAACAGTTGGTAAAAAAAAAGACAACAAATTCAATGAAACAACAGAGACATTACATCATCAAAATGACCTCAATCAGCCACACACACACGACCCTGTGATCGGACTGGCCCACACTGATTACAGCTTCTGATGAACGGCCCCAATTCAAACACCATTACTAAGCAGGTGGTGAGTTAAAGAAATACTGTCAAGTTCTGATTTTAGAATAGAATTAAATTGGGAGGGATGAAACCCTGTTTAATGGTCACAACACAGCACACACAGTGACATGTGTTCTCTGCTTTTAACCCATCCTAGTACCAGGAGTCTAGTACTAGCAGCAGTGGGCAGCTATTGTACAGCGCCCGGGGAGCAATGGGAGTGAGGGGGGAAGGGGGGTGTCCGGTGCCTTGCTCAAGGGCACCACGGCAGGGCAGGAGGTGGACTGGGACCTCTCCAAGTAGCAGTCCACACTCCATATTTAGGTCTGGTCCGGGACTTGAACCGGCGACCCTACAGCTACCCAGTCCAAGCCCCGACTGACTGAGCCACTGCCGCTATGCAGCTTCTCTGCTAACCTCTTTATGAGTTGCCATTATTGTTTATAACGAACATTTACCTGTGCATGTCAGCGCATATCTAGATATATTTTAACAATTTAGTTTTTTGGAGTAATGACTGAAAACAAAACGAAGATTCTGGAACTTTGGATCTGATGTCTTACAAAAAGGTATAGATTGAACGGATTGGCCAAAGAGTAACAGACGATGAACAATTCAATTAGAGTGTGCGGTCACATTGTAAGTCCATCTCTTCTCATCACAGCCACTCTAAATCGGGTAAAAAGTTAGCTTGAGTCATTTCAGTCATAGTCAAAACAAACTTAGCAAGACTCTGTAACATCAATGTCTTCGACTTCCTATCTACTTGACATCACATACCTGAGAGCGGTGTACCAGCCTTCACTCTTATCAGTGCTGGGCTCACAGCTCTGCATGTCTATGTTATGAGACTAGAGAGAATGACCTTACCCAATGAGATATGTGACCTAAGAACAACTCAAATTATACCTGTCAAAAATATGTATAATGTCTACAGTTTAAACATATATTAAGGTATGCAAATACAAATAAATAGGATTTAACTCTATAATGACTTATGGGTGATTTGTGATATCTCAAGAATACAGTTGCCAAGCAAGGCAAAGTGGGTTAATCTGAGGTTTTTTACTGAAAACAGCTGTCTGCTATTTGAAATGTCACTGCTGAGTAAGTTAGACTGAACCAAAACACAAATGTGAAATCAAAACAAGAAGCTGATGCCCTAGCCACACGGAGACGATACGGGTCGTATCCGCTACAGTTCTCTATCACGTCCACAGGAGGCCGACAGGGAAACGCAGATGACGATAACGGGTCCCAAGGTGGTTAGATCTGCGGATGCAACGCTCTGGGGGGCCAAATGGCTCCGTGTTTACGCCCTATACGATCATTTCCTGATAACGAAAATACTGACGGGCTGTCAGGAGAGGGGGAGGAAAAGAGGGACTCTGTGTTTTATTCTTATATTATTATATAGAGTCATTATTCATTTGTTTTAAAGCTCAATAAATAACAAAGAAGACCTTTGACCGGCACTTTTTATAATTTTTTCCGGAAGATTGAAACTTTAAGGGACATGTTGTCGACCTGCGAAAACTCTGCTGCACGGTCCCCTCGTCCCTTGGAAGAGGCGGAGAGGTAGGTGTTTGTCATCTGCTGGTGGACTAACCGGAGAGAATTACACCAGGAGCAAACGCTTGCCTCGGGGAGGGAGAAAAAGAGCCAGAGCGTCCACAGCGGAGAATAAACAGAAGGGCAACCATGCATGCTCGGGAAGTCTTTTTCGCTGCTTTTGGTGTATTTTGTGGCAGGGGTACAGCGCCACTTACAGGCCCGGCATATGTACTACAGCGTCTCCAGCGGGTCGAGCGGTCTCGTGTGGAAAGACACGTTTCTGGTGCCTATTGCGTTTGGACGGAAGAATTTTTTGATATCGAATTCGGTTCGTTTTCGTTCTCGTGTGGCTCCAGACTGAGACTTGCTCTAAAGCTCTGTAGAGTAGGTGATAATTGTTTAATTGATAGTTGTGCTTTTCAAAGGTAATCTGGAACAGCTCATTAGACACAGAAATAAGAGTTATCTTGAGAACTCACCCGTAGAACTATTTCATTGACAGTAGCAGCATCAGACTCGAAGTAGAGCGGCTTGTAGTCGTGGTTGCTCAGATAAGTGAACTTAAATATTGCATGACCTGTAAGACAGAGAAGAAACGTTGACTTTGAGACAAAAGAACAAGAAGTGGTGAAATGCTAACTCATTTCATGGTTTTGGGACTCATTCCTGTACCACGTTCTTAGAAAATAATGGAAATGGAAAGCAGGGGATCAGAATGCCAATTACTGGTTAAACTCTTGTTGATTATAGTTTGTAGAATGTGTCCTCACAACCTGTGAGAGTAAAACCAGTCCCTGCTGGATGTGATGAGAACATGTGTGGAGAAGTAAAAGGGACGGTGGGATTATTTCTGCAGTGATCAATAACGATATCATATACAGCTCTTTCAGCTGCACTCACTGGGGCTTCTCTCCTCCACGAGGTCACAGGCACAGAGGTGGTCCGAGTCGATAGAGATGGGTTTCTGACGGATCCAGAACTTAGTGCTGGCCTTCTGATTGGTGACAGGATCGATCTCCACTTTCTCTCCTGAAATGCCTGAAGAAACACAGAATATATCAAACACATGATAACAACAGTGCCTCAAAATCCTAACCTCGTCACATTACGTCTATTTTCTACCATTTAACAAAAATAAAATGTATTTCCTGTAAAAGTCCCGCATTCATGGGCGGCGCCAGCAGTAGCTTAGAAGTTGCTATATGACAGCACGGCCTTGCTAGTTCATTTTCTAATTAAACAAACAATACCAGTGGGCCAAGCACAAGCCTGTTCATATTGTAGCGTTCACCGCTATTCAAGATCACGAGCCTTCAATGTCGAAAACATTCTCTTTATTTTCTGGTATTGACGGCCACAGCCACGCCTTACAGAACCAATCAATAGTATAACACTCATTATGACTTTCCCCCACACTCGAACACAACTCCTACCGTCTCGTACTCCCTCCACACACACACCTGGAAGGGGCGGTCTCTCCCTAACTCAAATAAAAATGTAAGCAAAATACTGTGGCTGCTCAGCCCCTTAGATTTATCATTTTAAACAGAGAGAGAGAGAGAGAGAGTCTTTAACTTTCATGCCAATAAAGCCCCTTTGAATTTGAGAGAGAGAGAGAGAGAGAGAGAGAGAGAAGTACGCACCTAGCTGGACATCCGTGGTGAAGCGCAGCTTGTGGATCATGCTGATCTTGAAGGACATAGTGTAGTGTGACTGCTCAGCATGTCCTGCACATTGGAGTTTCGTTAGGAGGTCTTCCTCTGAGCTCTCCTCCCCTCGGAGCTGGGACAGAAAGGGAAATCATCCAAAACCACATTTATTTTATAACCATGTGGAGAAGTAACAGGCTGCACAATGAATAGCCAAGATTCTTCTGTGTTGTCCATGGAGAATTCGAGGATAGTGATAAATACATGTATGCTGTTATGTTACGGCATCAAATAACTTAAGTGAGATGACTACAATAACAACAAACACGGCAGGTTTTTTATCGTTACAATAAATCCATT